AGTCCAGTTCTTCTTCTGTCACCTGGACTGGATTAAAGCTTGTGACTGGGTCTCTTTAATCATACTTGAGCCCCCAACAGTCCATTCACAAAATACCAGAATAAGCCTTTAAAGACATGCTGTTATGTCACTGTCCTGTATAAAACCCTGTATTTAAGTGTAAGTCCTTAAGTTCTTTGTCGGAGTTTTCTTTAGTTGACAGGGCAGATGCAGGCGATGATTGGTATTAAAACTGTTTATAAACTGTGGTCACTCTTTGTTTTCTCTTTACTGTTTGCTCAGCCCTGTTCTCCAAGTGAATTAAGTCATGTAGTTTAATGTTGGAAAACCTTTTCTACTCATTACTTCAAATTTATAGAAAAGTAAGAATCCATTTTTTTTAAATGTATTGAGTAAGTTCATGTTTGCAAGGTATTGGAGTCAAAAAGAAGACTGGTGTATTGGTTATTAGTTGATTCATGCCTACAGGTCACGTAAGAAATTTCCTAAAAACAACATGAAAAAATAGAAAAGAAGAGATAACACATGGCTCTATATGATTGATTTCCCCAAAAGGAGTAGCATAAATTTAGGAAAGTGATATCATTATCTGTGGGAATGATTAGCAAAGGCTACTCTGGAGAGGCCAGTGATCTATCTCTGGGCTCTCAAAAGAGGCATACGCAGCATGCTGCTAGAAAAGATCTTGTCTAACTTAGAGGCAGAAAAGCACAAAGTATATATTCTAGGGGACAGTGGACAGATGATTTTGACTAGTGCAAAACATTTGCAAATAGGGCTGCATAGAAGTTGTTCAGCACCTTGAATGCTAAGCTGGAAAGTTTGGGCTTTTATTACAGGCAGTGGTTCAGATTATTGTGTTAGTTGACATTTTAATTATTTGGAAATAAACATTTGTTTTAGCTCCGTTGTACTTAATTACACTGTTGTAGTGGGATTTTTTTTAATGTGTACTTTATAGATTTTAAAATACCAAATAAACATAATTTTCTTCATTTCTTACGTGAATTCTTTGATGAATTCAAAAAGTGCTTCCACTTTAAGTCACCGTGCATGACATTGGAGAAGGTAATGAGGACTTTGGATCAGGTACTCTGGTTTGAAAGCTGGTTTTGCATTGTGACCTTGTATAACCTTGGGTGAGCTACCTAATCTTTTTGAGCCTCCGAGATAATAAAGTACCAATGCCATAGATCTGTTATGCAGTATAAATGCTTAAATGATGAAGATCTAATATCTAATTCTAATAAGGTAGTAGAACAGTATATAAATTGTTCTACTTTAAAACATTAAAACCATGTTACTCTGATCCAATATTAACCATGATCTATTTCTATCACTTTTAACATAGCTGTTAAATATAGCTGATAACATAGCTGTATATTAAGTAATACATGCATAAATTATATATATTTATACAGATCCATAATTTGTCATCCATAATTGCAAACCCCAAAAAGTCCAGAAAAGTGTGTTTATAGTCTTTTTAATCCCACTTAGTTTAAGTATTTTTATGTTTGTTATAGTTTGGATTACTGAAGTATTCCACCAGACCCATTGGGAATGTTATGTAATCATTGGTATATTATTTTTCTACAAATCTGAAAAGTTCTCAAAACACTTCTGATGTCACAGGTTTTAGATGCAGGGCAGTGGACCTGTAGAGAAGTTATCAATGTTTGTTATATTTTTAAACTTATATTTCAAAGATAAATGTGTTACAGTGTTTTGATAATCTTCACGTAATGTTTTCCATGCAAAATACATTCACCTCATGACCCAGCAGTTCCACCGCTAGGTAATTATCCAAGAAAAATAAAAACTTATGTTCACAAAAAAAGCCTTGTAGGAGAATTTTCATAGCAGCATTATTCACAATATCCCAAAACTAGAGCCACCCAAATGTCCATAGTTGTCTCTTGAGACACATAACGTCATGCCCTGTGAGTGCAGAGTGGGTAGGAGTGGTGAGGATGGAAGAGAGAAGCTTGTTCTGGAGTGAGACCACCAGGTTCAAATTCCAGCTTTGCCGACTAAATTCTGTGTTCTGCTAGGAGATACTAGTATAGCCTGCCATAATGTGATATAATTCAGTGTACATACTGTAATTCGTAACTTGTAAGTCTTGGTGGCCTCCAGCAACTGTGTCATTATGACACACTTCACTGACACCACCTAGTGAAAGCTGTGCTGCTCTGGTTTTTATCCTCCTCTGTTGATGTCACTAGATCAGTTTTTCATTTCCTGTACCCTGCAAAAGGCACACACATGTATGCACAGGCCCTGCACATGCACACATGTATTTCTTCCATCATCTTCTTTGCCTTCCTCCCAAGTTTTACTGCATCACCAGCTAATGAGTGTGGTTATTTTGTTATCCGAAAGAAGCTGTTCAGTGAAAACGTGTTCTAGCTCCTCTTCTTTGTACAGCACTGTGTATGAGGCATTGTGTCACCTCACTTCTTCTTTCATCTTTATTTCTTCTTACTTTTCTGACATTTTCAAATGTGTACCACTTTCTTGTGGAAGGTGACTGAAGGTATACCTGTTGCTTTTCTTTCTGTTTATATAGAGTATAGTTTATATACTTACTTTGGTATTCTGTTACACATAGATTTGGGTTTGAAACGATGTAGCAAATTTTAATTTTTAGTATCACTAGTTTTCAGTGGACAAGTTTATGCAGTTTTATCCTAATAGATTTCTTTTTATAAATTTATTTTATTTATTTTTGGCTGCATTGGGTCTTTGTTGCTGCACACAGGCTTTCTGTAGTTGCAGCGAGCGGGGGCTACTCTTCGTTGAGGTGCGCGGGCTTCTCATTGCGGTGGCTTCTCTTGTTGCAGAGCACGGGCTCTAGGCACATGGGCTTCAGTAGTTGCAGCATGCAGGCTCAGTAGTTATGGCTCACGGGCTTAGTTGTTCCGCAGCATGTGGGATCTTCCCGGACCAGGGCTCGAACCCGTGTCCCCTGCATTGGCAGGCGGATTCTTAACCACTGCACCACCAGGGAAGCCCCATAATAGATTTCTAATTCTTCTCTTCCAGTGACATTGCTTACTTATTTTTATCATTAGCAAGTAATGTGTCTTTCAAATAAATAATATTACTTCTTTTTTTTTCATTCATCTGTATATGTTCATAGGGATCAAGGAATAGCAATTCCACAGAGTGCGAGTATCTTCTCCATTTTCTGCTACTGCAGAGTAGGTTACTGAAAAGTCGGCAGTGGAACATGCCGACAGTGGCACATCAGTCTTCATGATGTTTTCACTTACCTTAAAAAAAATTCTTTGTAGTTTGTTAGAAGTCCACTTCGCAGTTCTCTTTGTTACAAACTGTAGTGCCCCATGTGCTGTTACAGTGCCAGGGATAGAGTTTTGTGTAATAGGAAAGGACTGAGAAGTTTGTCACCTGCTCCTTTCTTGAATCAAGAAGGACCAATGTTATATCAGAAAAATGTATTATTGGGTTACTTTCCTTTGAAATATTAAGTCCCGAGGCTTAGATAATGCATAAAATATGTGAACAGCACATAGTTCCATTTCTGCCACCGTCTTCAGGGATGAACCTCATCTTTCTGTTCCTGAAGTTTATCCTGCAGGATTTAGACATTTGAGATTTGTAAATACAGTTAAAGATTTCTCATACCAGTCATTTAAAAACTAAATCCTAGCAAATGACTTGGGGAGATGGGATGAGTGGGAAGATAGGCAGTGATAAATAGGAAATAGGCTCTGTTCTCTAGGAGCTTGTTCTTTGCTTGGTAGTTGTGATATACAACAAACTAATTCAGGGCAGAAAAATACAATCTAGGGATAGCCCTTTGAGAAGGTAGCACTTAGGTTGAAGTCTGCAGGGATGAAGTAGGATTTGGAAAGAAGGATGAAGGGTAGAATGGAGTGCAGAGAAGCATTCAAGATGGAGGAAATAGGAATATGCACAGAGATGAATAACGGAGTGATTTGGCTTGATTTATAATATAAGATATGTGTAAAGAACATAGATTGATTTAACTTGAGAAGATAGTTTGGGGCCAGGCCATAGGTAATTTAAATGTATTATTATTTTTTTAGATGGCAAGAGACCATGAAGGGTTTTAAGACATGAGAATGTTAAGAAACATTAAGATGAAAGTTTTGTTTTGGGCAGTTAATCTGGCCATTGTGCATAGATTGATTGGAGAACAGATACTATTAACACATTATTGTAGTAGTTTTGGTAATATACCAATAATGACAAGAGCAAGGGTGACAACAGTAAATGGAGAGGGTGTGGGGCAAATCCAAGGTAAATGAAATGGCCATTTTGATGATCAGAGGCATCCCTGGGTTTTGCCTGTTGCATAATTACTAATAGTGCCCCATTTCACTACTAAGTTTTTCTTGGCTTGGACAGTGTATCAGATGCCCCTAAAGATGGATTTGCTTTAGAATTGATAGCATTTGCTAATTGAGGGGAGAGCGGGATGTTGGCATAAGAAACGAGAATATATACACAAATTTTAGAAATTCTTATGATTATGATTTTATTAAATTTTCCTTTTTGGGAGAATTAAACAAATTTCCTTACCTGCATACCACAGTCAAATCTTACATGTTTAAAATCCCAGTTTGTTTTTTGTCTTTTAATGAATACATTTGAGTTTTAGACTCTTCAGCAGAGTGATAGGTACTGTAGAGACTATACTGTATTTAATTTACCTAATATTTCCATTGATTCCATTTAAAAGTAAAGCTTTTTAGAAGAACATTAATAAATCAGTGTAGCTTACCTTAGGAATGTAGCTGGTAGCAGTTGAGAGTATCCTGTGTATCAACATCCCATTACTGAGAATGGGCTTCAGCATGTAGCACCTTTTGGTTCCCTGATCTTTCTTCCCTGATTGAAACAGATGGCTATAGTCACATGATACCTATTTTAAGGTTTGTGCATAGATATGGCTGTGATGTGTATGGACCATTTCAAGTGCTTAGTGCTCTTGTATTTTCCATGTATAGGCGGAGGGAGAAGACAGCCTGAAGAAGATGCAGCTGATGGAGCTTGCGATTCTCAATGGCACCTACAGAGATGCCAACATTAAATCACGTAAGAATGAGACTGAGGCTCAGAGCTACAGCTGTTTCAGCTGTTTTGTCCCCAGACCTCTCCCCTTTTGGCAGCACAATACGTGAACAGTTAAAGTGAAGAGTTGAAATAACTGTCACTTGATATGGGACTAACTGTCCCATTTTTACTGCTTTCAAGAATTGAGGGCACTCTCTTGATTTTATTTTATGCCAGCATGCCTAAGTTTTGAGTTTACAAACTTTTCTTTTATTCTTTTGATGAAATTTCAACTTCTAAATTCAAGAGTTTTGGGAAATTTTCTGTTAACTTACAGATTTAAGACTTCTAGTTTGTTACATTTATGCAAAGGACGAAATTTTTAAAAAAATAAAAGCTCATTTGGAATCTATCTGAAGGCAGTGATTCTTCTGTTGATTCTGTTCTTTCCCCTTGCTTGCACATTTTTCCTCCAGTATTTTTTTCTCTGTTGATTTTATGTGTGAGTTCACAGAGAGCAGTAGATGATACTATTTTTTAATCCTATTTTCCCCTTTATATGTATTGTGCATGCTTTCATAAACTGTAAGAGGATTGCTTTTTTATATTTAAAAATGAAATAATGTGAAATTTATATTTTGAGACAATCTGAGTTTTACACATCATTCATATGAACATGATGTCATTTAAATTACTAATTTTTTTTAAAGAAATAGAATTTTAAAGACATAGCCAACTTTCCCAAATATAGGCACCCTAGTGTGTTTAGAGTGGTTACTTTTACAAATGGTTGGCTTTAATTTACTCATGAAACGGAGTATATCATTAATAGTCATGTGTTTAGGAATGTAACATTTTTTTGTATTGTTTTTTCTATAAAGAAGTTAATTCCTACAGATGCAGGAAATTAATAACTGTTGGTTATTTGACTAAGTTAATACAATGAAAATTATGCTTTCCTTCATTTGTAACTGAAGCTACTCTTTAGAAATATACCAAAACTGTATTTCTGTGGACTCCAATTACCAAGTATTTTTTAACATCTTTTAATGCAAGTGTTTTTTTGTGCTTCTGCATGCACCATTAGTCTCATGAAATCTTAAAAACATAGATATATCCGATATATGAAGTAAATATAACCTGTTTTAATGGTCTCATTCTTTTTTTCCCCAGTGGCTTTTTAATGTTTGCACATTTATTCTCAATCACGTTGGGGAAGGGGAAGCTGTTTTGCATTTGGTTGGTGTGCTTTGGCATTTCTGTGTGACCAGCGCATGTACTAACGATTTCCTTTTATTTTTCTTCTTCTCTGCTCTCTCCTTCCCTTCCCTGCCCTCTCGTTTCCCACGTCTCGCCTTCGGCTGTCCCTGTGCCTCCTTCTCAATCTCTTCGCTTTCACTGTAGCAGCCCTTGCCTTTTCTCTTGCAGCCACAGCCCAGGCCGCTCCAAGGGTTATCACGGGGCCTGCGCCCGTTCTCCCGCCAGCTGCCCTGCGCACCCCTACGCCAGCTGGCCCTACCATAATGCCTTTGATCAGACAGATACAGACCGCTGTCATGCCAAACGGAACTCCTCACCCAGCTGCTGCGATAGTCCCTCCAGGGCCCGAAGCTGGTTTAATCTACACGCCCTATGAATACCCCTACACGTTGGCGCCAGCTACATCGATCCTTGAGTACCCTATTGAACCTAGCGGTGTATTAGGTAAGTTGTTCTCCCTGTATAGTTAATGACATTTTTCTTCATAACTTCTGCTGCCCCAGACTTTGAAATGATATATCCATTTTAGAGAGACAAGTTTACATTAGAAAGACTGAAAACTAAATTTTGTTCTATTTCAGCCTCTTATAAGGGTTTCCTCCTGTAAATAATTGTACCTTAAATTTATTCAGATTCACTTTGGTGACTGAAATTCACTTTGGTTGGGTAAATTTGAGATGAACATTTTAAACAGAAAATACTTTTCACATTTTTGACATCATTGCGGTCAATTCTGAGTTTTAGATCCCACCTATTGGCCTATCCTCTTCATCAGCTCCACCACCCAGTTTTTAGATTCCTTTTGTGTCGGAGATTTATTTGTCAGCTAAATTTTAAACTTCTATGTGAAAGTTTTTTGAGATATTTTTAAAACTGATGTGTGTTTTCTAATATTTGTGATCACTTAAAATATGAAAGGGACCAATAGTTGCATTCTTCAGTTTTCTTCAGCTTTTCTCTTTTGAAGTCCTAGTTAATATTAAACATAAGAGACACTCTTAATTTCAGTAGTACAGTATGGAATGAAGTAAATACCAAGTCACTGAATTAGAATCACATTTGAGACGAAAATTAAGATCATGCTATAAATGCTCGGTTTTACATGAACAAAAAGTGGTGTGCTTGAAAAAGACATTACTGATGCCTTTTTTTTATAGAGTGGATTGAAATGCCAGTCATGCCTGATATTTCAGCCCATTGACTTGCTGGATGAAGGACTAGAGTACAGCAGCTGTTCTAACACGACCAGTCAATGTGGAACAAACTGTTTCCGGGCTGCCCCTTTGTTTTACCAGACAGAATTTGAATTCTTTTTTCTTGAATTGTATATGACCTTGGTGCTGCATGCATGTTGTTGACTTTTAGGACTTTGATCTTTTAAGTTCTTTTTTTCCCAGCATTAATATTGATTTCTAAAAATATGAAAGTCTTTAATGAACCCGGACACTAAGATTTAAACTTGAAAATTCATTGTTCAATTAAAAAAAGCCACGATGCTCTGTATGTTATCTGTGTGTGTGCATGCACTCAGGTGCCTTTTGTTTCATGAGCAGATACATTTTATTGTACATGTTTTCTGTTTATCTCTAAATCATTGTAAAAAGTATTATAGGTCAGAATTATACAATAGAACTGTTTATGAGAGGCCTGTTTCTGTTGCATATTTCTCAAAGCATTTTTAAAATAACATGTAACCTATAACCCCTTTACGTTTTCCTTTCTGTTAACGCTCTGTCCTGTGGCCCCATGCCTGCTCCTTTCCCCCAGAGCTCCTCTCTGCTGCACGCACAGCGTCTGTTCGAGGAGTTTGACTGTTGCTTCCTGCAGGGCTGGCACTCTTAGCCACCAGCTGCTGTTCCAGCACTCTGAATGCAAGATCTCGCTGATTTTGCCTCGTGGAATTATACTTACATAAGATTAGTTTTTCTAAAATGAAAAAAGGGGTGATGGACCAGTTTACTGCTTAGAAACAGCAAGAGGCACTGCAGTAAAATTTCTCATTTTAAAGCAATGTGCTTTTGTTGTGTTGGAAAATTTTTATTTATAATACTTAATTATTAGACTGACAAAATTGAAAGCAAAATATACAGATACCTATTGACATTCATAAGATGAATAATATTGAGTACTAAATGACAAGATTCCATTATCAATTTTATTTCTCGCTTTGCCACCTAAGCAGTAAAACATGATATTGACCACTTGGAGAACTGAGAAAATATTTCAAATTGCTGTGTTATAATAAATTTGCACACAGATAACATGCATGCTATATATCAAGTCTCATCATATTATTTTAAAATGAGCAGTGCCCTTCAAAACGGATGCAGACATGTGTGTTGGTGGTAGTGAGGAGATTGGTATTAGCATCAGATCTTCATTGATGACTAATTTTTAATTCCCTTCCTTTTATCTTTAGGTATGGCTTTCCCAACGAAAGGCTAAGAATTCAAGAACGGTCTTAACTGAACCCTCATCAGATCTGAATTTAACAAATGCTTAGTCTCAGCAGCCTCCAGGGGGTGGGAGGGACGCTTAGCCTAGCAGTCAGTGACTGACTTGCACTTTTGCACACTGATAGAAAGGAAAAGTATGTTATTAATTGGTTTAGGCTGTAATCTTACAAAGTAACGGTAATTTATAAAGGAGTGTATAGTAGTATACTGACTGCTACGTGTACTATACTGTTTGCTTTACTAATCACCTAATTCATTGCAGTTCATACTTATTGACTCAAAGTTTAGAACCACAATCTGTAGGCTTTAAGAATTGCTTTTAAACCTTCTTAAGTGATAGACTCTGGAAGTGGTCTTAAGGTTAGCAAATAATTGTCAGTATTAAACATGGCATTATTTAAGTAGTCCTGCTGCAAGAAAGGCACTTCAGTGAATATGTGACTAGTAAAGCTTAACTATGTTTGGATCTAATAGAGTTCATGAAATCTGTAACTTGGGATTGTAAATGAATGGATAAAATAGGTTAAGGCCAAGATTATTGAAATGAATGCAATATTAATAGATGCATATATACGCAACATATTATGGTTAATTTTAAGACTACTGTGCCTTAACATGTTTCCTAAAAGAAAACTTTTGTAGTAAACAAACATTTGAAATCCATTTTGATAAACCTGCTGTTAATGTTTGTTATCTTTTCCCTTGTGAATGTTCTCTAACTTTGTCTTGGTAATTGCAATTTAACTAGGTGCGGTGGCTACTAAAGTTCGAAGGCACGATATGCGTGTCCATCCTTACCAAAGGATTGTGACCGCAGACCGAGGTTAGTTTAGTTCTGCAGTTCTTGTTTATGAGAAATGCGTTGGGTGTCCATAAGATTTGTTACACCACACCTGATGGAAGAGATATCACTGCTTGCCTGCACATCGTTTCTTTTCTTTTTCTAAATTAATTTGTAATAATTGACAGGTTTAAGGGTTGGGTTTTTTGGGGTGTTTTTTTCCTCCCTTCATATTTTAACTTATTAAATTCTATATTAGTATGTACAATGATTTATTTCTACTAAAACGTAAATTAGTCCCTTTGGGGAGCTATTAAATTTTCATGTTGCCTTAGTTATTTTTCAGGAATAATTTTTGCTAAAATTTACCTTTTAATTGTTCTGAAATTTTGGGTTGGTTTTGCAAAATGAACTAAGCGGATGGTGCTTTAACGAGAGAAGTAAAGGAATATATGCCTCCTGTGTCCTTTTGGAGAAAACTGAAGATTTAGTTTCCATTTTCCTTTTTAATAAGATACTTGAACCACTGTATACACAAGGGTATACATGTCAAGTACTTAGCTGAAATCAACAAAGTAAGGACTGTGAAGATAACTTTGATGAAGTTGGATTTTTTTTTATAAATCAGAAAATCAGTTCCCTTTTATTCTTACATTCTCTTACCAAAATGGATCCTTTGATTTTTGTTATTTGCTGCTAAAATATATTATCTGAAGGTAAACTATCTTTTGAAGCTCTGTGGTGACATGAATCCAGCTGTTTGAAAATCCTTTTTGACTAACCTGTGACTGGGAAATAAGTCTTCATTTTTCTCCTTTTCAACATTTGTAATTTGTGTCCTATATATGCCCTTGGACCCTTTTATAAAATTATTTATGTTTATTGAGGAGTGACGGTTTCGGTTTATTGACATTGTTTTCTAAGTTTGTCATTACAAGGTAGGAATCCAAAGCAAGATAAAAAAGGATTTTTCACAAGCTTCTATTATGGCACATCTATTACCTACTAATTAATTTGATCAGAGTCTCTAATATTAGTGGTGGAAGGTGATGTATTTATACCCCAATCCTACATTTTCTATGAACTTAAGAAAGACCTACCTGTTCTACATGGTTATCTTGAATACTGATGATAAATATTGGATACAGGTGTTGTCCACATGAGAATAAAATCTTCCCAGAGACACTGATGATAGCATCATACATAATTAGTTTGAAGACTTTTAACTAATATATATATTACTTGTAGAGATTATTCAATAAATAGACCCCCAAGCTCAATGATTATTTATGAAGATAATGTTAAGTGTCAGTGTGTCATGCACAAGTAAACCACCCTTTGTGTATCAGAAAAAGTCTCCTAGTGAAGGAGGAAATTTTTTAAAAAATGTTTTTTTTAAGTAACTTGCCATTTAAGGAAACCAAATAATTCCTTGAATAATCAGAGCTTTTTTCCCCCCACATTGTTCATGTCTAAAACAGTTCTAAAGAGTATTTAAAAGTAGTTTTTCTTCTGTTAACCTTTCCCTACATGCCCCTTTTAGGAGATTTCTCATAATTTTGTTTTAACACAATAATTACTGGTCTACTTAATACTCCAGTGCCTTGAGATAGTTGAAAATATTAGGAAGATTTTACTGTATTTGGAAATGACAGCACATTCCATGTGAGGCTCTTTTGTAGTTATATGTGTTTGGATTAGTCCTGTCACTGTTTTTATTAAAAATGCAATGTCAGCAAACCGAAATGCTACCTTTTTTTTTTTTTTTTCTAAATAACAAATACTCATATACTGCTGTTACTATCACTGTATGCACTCACTGGGTCTAAGGGAGAGGTCTGAAATCCTTAAATTATTTTATGATACTACTGTTTTCTCTATTTTTGAGGGGTTTTTTTTAATTATTATTTTTTAATCTTTTGAAGGGAAGATTAGTGTAAGTATTCATTTAATGCAAGGAAACTCAGCCCTTAGACATATAACCATGTAATTCTATATGAGCATTTAGAGTACTACATGGTTGAGAAATATCTAGTTCTTTACTAAAAGTAAACCCACCTCTACACATAATTTGAAAACTGAATTTGAAGCCTATAAAAGACCAACTGACTTTGTAGTTGTGATGAACCATAAGTGCTTTTGCACGGTTGATACACCTGTGTGTACTGTAGGAGGCCAGGACTTGGCAGAGGATATAGTCTAGGTTTACTGGTATATATGTAAATGGTAGTTTGTTTATGTATTCCACATGCAAAAAAAACATAATCAGAATTTTTCTAAATAATTTTACAAAAACCATCATTTATATAATTTGTTATAAGAAACTTAATACAATTTTAATCAAAATTTTAAGTGATTTCAAAAATGCTTTAAGATTCTATATTTCTGGAGTACCTATGAAGTGGTATGACTACATCATGTTAAATATTTATTTTCTTCTTTGATTTTGGAATAGCAGTTTTTAAATAAAATTCCACTTATTTTTAAGAAATTCAGGGAAGATTTGGTCACACTGAAGATACAGTATTTTTGTAGTATTTATAAGGTATCCTAAATGATAGACTATAGAAAGCATTTTTGTTATATGAAGGTAAACCAGTCCATTATATAGATCATTTACACTCTGTGAAATTACACCTACTGGGTTTTGATTTATGAAGTGGCACAGAATCTGCCTTTGCACTGAATATCTTTTCATTTACATCTCCTCTGCCTTAGTCACAGTGGCAACAGTACAGAAAATTCTCTCAAACCTCAGAATATAGTAGAAATAATTAAGCTATTGAATGAGTCTTAAAAATCATACTACTGTTAAGTGGACCAAGTTTGGTGAAGCAGAATGTGACAGAGGTTGATTAAGGAAGGAGCAACTCAAGGACATTGGGAATGATAACTTTTCCACTTGAGAACTACTTTATGTTTTACTGTAATTTTTTTAATTTTTTTTGTTCTGTTTGTTACTTTGCAAAAGAAAATAGTATTTACAGGTGGCTTCTTTTAAAATATAAAATATAAAGCAGGAATGTATATGAAATGTCAGATTTTATTGTTATTTGCAGAGTATTAGCTTTGAAATTGAATAAAGAAAGCTGTTTGTAGTTTTAAAATGCCTTATTGGTATCAATTAGAAATTTCTTCTATTTTTTGATGTACTTAGAGCTTTTTGAGTATAGAATTTTAAATGGCAGGATTTTACAGTGTTTACATGCAAGTGCATTTTATAAGTGTTCTATATGTGTAAAATAGTATTTTCAACTGGAAAGTGTTGGCTAGTGCAGAAGGCCTGGCCTTTTTCTGGTTCCCATGTTTCCTACACTGCTAGACTACAGTTTAGTATTGCATTGTGTCATGAGGCCAAGAAATTCCATGTTGTTTGTAAATAGAATAATTGAAAAAGCAATAAACATTTATTGAACAAAAGAAACCTTGTTTGGCCCAGAGTTTATGTTGAACCAAATTATTCATAAAAATTTAAATTTCTTTAGATTCATTTCTGTTGATCATCAGTTATTAATAATCACATCCATCATTAATAGTTGCTTTAATGCTTGCATCTGAGAGAATACTAATGCTTAATAGCAGTCAGATACTGATAACTGCACTGACTGTTTCAGAATTCTGTATACCAAACCTATTCATTGTTGTTGTTTTCCAGTTTTCTTCATTGACTGCTACTAACTATTAGTTGTTAGTTGTATTTTATTTCTATTTTTTCCTGTTAACAGTTTTTGGGTTTTTTTTGTTTTGTTTTTTTGTGGGAGTGGGCTCTCCTTCATTTGTTCAAATCATGATATGAAATTGTCATGATTTTTATTGTATTCTGTAGATGGTGTCAATCAGTTTGTCAGAATTAAACATGCTTTTTTTTATTAGTTGTGATTAGTTTTTCATGTTGTCATTAAGCCGTCACTAGCTGAAACTAATCTCTTCTCTATCTTTTCTTTTCTTTTTTTTTTTTTGTTTTTTGTTTTTTGTTTCTAACCACCCAGCCGCCACCGGCAACTAACCTATGACCTTCTGACCTCTGAACTCTTCACCCAATGATGACCTGACCATGCCTGCCTGCTGATCAGTTAACTGGTAATCGCCTTTGCTTGCCTGTCGTCAGTGCAGCGAGCTGAGGCACTTGTCCGTTCGTCTTACCATCTAACCAAACAAAAGACAAAGAAATTGTCCTCCAACTCAGCTTTTGTTTTTTTTCGGTTTTTTTTTTTTTTTTCTTTTTTCTGTTTGGGTGAAAGTGGTTCTAGAACCTGCACTGAATAGTAGTAAAGCAATAAGGCCCAATTCATCCCACAGCACTGATCATCTTTTAATGTCCCACCCTAAGCGAACGGTAAGAAGGCCTCACTTCAGAAGGGGAGACAGATGGCCCTTAACTACTCAGTGACAGAGGCAGTTACTGTGAGAGACTTCTAGGAATCTTTTCTTCTCATAGCGAGTCAAAGCTCTCTGAATGTACTGTGTGATGATGCATCATGCATGAACCTTTGGTCAGGGATGTCATTGGTGAAGTGATTTCAAAAAGTATTCAAAATTTGATATGCTCTTTAGTCACTACAGTGCCCTCAAAGGGCAGAAGTTGCAGCCTTTTTTATATTGCCTGCCAAAATTTGAAGTATTAGAAGTGTGCCATGAGAGAAAAACTTAAGGAATTTTGAAAAGTAATGCAAAGAACAAAACTGCAACACTATTTTTAAAAAGATAAATATCTGAGTTAAAATGACTGAACCTTTATTTTACACCTCCTTTAAAAAATACACAAGAACAAGGTACATGCATTATGTGTCACATTACTGGGCAAACTGTTCAAATATTTTTTTTAAACCTCCCTGTATAGAAAAAAATCATTAAGGATGTAAAAGCCATGCTTGCCTATTTGCTGTATACATGTAATGAAATTGTAGATAAAGTGTAGTGCATTGAAACAAATGAACAAAAAGTAGATACTTTTACTATACAAGGGTGCTGGTGCAGAAAAAATATATATTTTTGGAAATGTAGCATTTTATACTTTCAAGTGTTATAAAAAAAAAAAAGAACAAAGAAACCCTTTATTTCATGAAATGATTTTTTCTGGTGGTTGTCAAGAAACAAAAGACCAAAAGAGCCTTTTTGTCTTTTTTTTATTTTTTAAGTATTGGAATAAGTCTAAAGAAAAGAAAGTGCCTTATTTTCCTTCATGGTCATTTAGTCAACTGTCCTGTAAGATCAGCTCCTCCCTCAGAATACAAGTTAATGCATGTTACTCAGTCGCCCAGTATGTGAAAGAAGATGTGAGGGGAGACAAATGAGTTGATGGTTTGAATTATATGATTTTTGCCACGTTACCTTGATATAAATTTGCCAAATCTGATACTGTGAAAAAATTTGATAACTTTTCTGATGCCTAGCAAGTAAGGTTTAAAGCATTCTTTTAAAATCATAATTGCGTGCTTTTGGTTATTGCGATATTTAATGTTAGTCCAAAGGATTCTGAAATAAAAATTATGTGTGATCTGAACACCACTTTACAGACAAAATTAGAGCTCTATTTTGTTGGGGGGGGGAGGGGTATTGGATTTTTGTATTATTAATTGGAGGCAATAATATTATATTAGCAACCTTTTTCACAAAAACGAATCTTTCTGCTTTTCACTCTGGAAAACAAGGTTTTTAAATGAACCAAATTTAATCGGACTTGTTTCTACCAAAGCAGATCACTGGGTAGTCCATCTCTGCTGGTTTTAGTAACCTAAGCCAACAACGCCCCCTTTTTAACTTTAAAAGAATGTGAAAAACTAGCATCATTGTGCATATAATACTCAACTACATGTGAGTTTAAACTTCCAGTTTCTTACGAAGTTCAGTTTTGTAGTTGAAGCGATTTGTGCACAAAGCCGACATCTAAACTCTTAAGTAATCATTAACTGCTCAGTACCAGACGTGGCAGATATCAGGTGGCGGTGGCTCCCCAGCTCGTCAGCTCCTTCCCTCTTACACACCTTCACAGCTTCACAGTCAAAGGTCAGCAGTAAGCTCAGTAAGCACCTTTGTGGTGACCTCCTCCATCATCTTGTCTCACTTGGAAACCGTTTTCAGTTTATTTACTATGCAATAGACATTCATTGTTCTGTATTCAGCTAGCTTTAGTTTAACATGCCACTGCTTTGTCTTTCTGTTACACATACAGTTGTTTTGATTTATTTACAATATATGCTGTGCCATTTTGATTTTTATTTTGTTCGGTTGGTTGAATAAATTTGCGACACTCAAACACTTGAGGTGATAGTTTAAAAATGATACCAGTATTTGATCTAGTTTCATCTCAACTATGTTATACCTGGACATTTTAGATGTTTATCAAAGGTCTTTTATGGGGAAGAAAGTAAATGTTTGAAATAAACGTGTGACATTTATGAGTAATGTTGGCTCTGAACAAACGTTTGAAAACTTAGTTGACAAACTTTTGGATCAACTGAAAAAAAGCATGACTTTTGAAATCTCTGAATGCCTTGGTTCTCAGTATTATCATTCTTTATTGAATTTATTTCTTATTAAAATATGTAGTTTTTAAGACTTTTTTTTTCTGACAGTATTATGTAATTTTTTAGTGCGGGTAGATGGGAGTGTCGCTTGTATGTTACCGTACAGCTGACATGTATTTTTGTCTATTCTTTATTATCTCAGTAGTTTCATGCTATCTATGTATCATAACCAACCTATTGCCTATGAGAAACATGTAAGATAATGTATTTACAGCCATTGTTACAAGTTTATAATGTATTTTTCTATCTTGTTTTATATGTATGTTATATAACATTCAAAAAGAATTTTTTTCTTGATTGAGAAAAGGATACAAAAATGCAAAATCCACAATTTTGATAACTGAAAATTGCCAATTGTTTTGCAGTACTTTATTATATTGGGTGTCTTGTCTTTCTTGGGCTTTTAGTTAGCTAATGAATGAATACATTAGACACTTTCGGGTTTTAGTTGGGATTTTACATAGCTTGCATTTTAATTCTTTGGTTCTTTGCTGTTTCTATTAACCCATAGCATTATTTTAATAAATGTTATAATACCAACCTACTAACTCTGGACTATGTCTGTTTATTAACCTTTACGTGTTTAATTAAAATAAACAAATAAAGACAAAGGAATGTAAAGTCTTGAATTCCTGGACTAACCCTGAAGAACGTGACCACAGATAACATAGTCATAACGTGACTTGTTTTTATGTTGTTTGTCAGCTGACAATTCCGCACACTACTGTTAAAATGGCTTTGGTTATTCTGGGCTTTTACTTCGGGGTGGGGGGGTAGGTAGGTGCCAATAGAGATGGGAACAAAGTAGTGTTGGTTTGAGGCGTTCTTCTAGTCTTGCCACTTGCCTTTCAACCTCTGCATTACTAATTCCACAATTTCTTATTTTTCCTTCTCCAAAATAATCACTGTCTGCTCACAGCATAAAGAGTAAAGAGATTCGTCATAATGATATACCCAAGAAACCAGTTTGATTCTTTGTTGAACCATTTTTTGAAATTTCTATAAGTAGATAATTTTATGGTCACATAAAGCAAGGAATCTGATGTCTTACCTTTATTCAGATTTGTGTTTTAATTGGACATTTTTCCTTTATAAAGACGTTTTGAACTGTTTTAGCCAGCTGCTCCTGTTAGAGGGGCTAAACACAGGTAAAGCCAAAGGTAGAGTGGCTCTGTGTCTCAGGACAGTCCAGAGTAAGCCGTTCACAACAACCACAAACCCGCCTCTCCTCGTGGAACCCTCAGCAGGAGGTCAAACAGCGTCACTCAGCTTTATGTCTCACCCTGTTAAAAATACAGTCAGAATACATTAATATAAGAAGTTTAAGGGAGAAGAAATAGCATTTGAAAAGTTATATATATCATGATTTTGCATGCAGGTCAATTTAAGAAGATCTATTAAATATCTTCATGCTTTCCTTGGCTGCAACCTAGGTAAATTGACCTCTACTTATCAATTCTTTAGTGTAACTCTTGAGGTGCATTTTTATTTCACAGATATTGGTATTTCCTGTTCTGTGAAATAGTTCTCCTGGATAATAAAATTTCTCAGGATGAATTTTTGCATTTGTAAATAATGCTTATTTTTGTAAATTACATTTTATTTATTTTAAAGTTCTAAAATTTGGGGCTAAAATGAGTCACATGTTACAGAAGACATAACACCAATATGCTATTAACCAATCAAAGTACTACCATAGTATATATACATACATGAAATACATAGAATAGCGAGAGCATCTGATTTAATCATAGTTGAGATGGTTCTTTGGATCAAACAAATATATTGTTTCTCCAGTGGGGGGGGGGATGCATTATTATTAGGTAGAGCTTTACTATGCTACTCTGTAAAAGTTCACATTGCCATACAGCTAATATATATTCTGTAAAAATCTGAAGATGTCATTCAAGCTGCTAATATGCAAGTCATCATGGCACCATGTCACTGAAATTGAAGAAGAATTTCTATACAGTTTATTCCACATTTTCTGAAGCCTGTGAATGCAGTCTCATCTCATTTTCAGTTAAGAGTACTACTTTTATGTATAATTATGTCACATTGCCACCTTTTATGTTGTAAAAGTCCATTTTTAAAAGACAGAAATAACATTACAAAACCCACTTTTATACAGGCTGTAATAGTATAAAAAATGGAATCACCGAGTTGTTAGAATGATAAAATGCCAGAGGCAGTTTATTGTTTTATGCTACTAGTACTTGACAAAGCAATTGAAAGTTAAGCTTTCAGTCGAGAAGTTGGTGAAATTAATGTACTTAGTAGTCAAGCATTTTTTTCTTAGGCAAAATGTCAGGAAAAATGTAGTATGAAAGTCGATATTCACATACACCTACTCTGTAGGGCAGAGTCCACCTAAAAGGGCAGTTGAAGCACCCTGTCCATAAAGCCAAGATGTGCATATGTTTACACAAGATAGGAGGTGGTTAAGTTTCTAAAATACTGGATAAATATGAAGGATCTAAATTTTCTAGTACACCAAAAGCGGACAACAGGTTTAAATTGCTCATTACCAAATCAATCTTTTTTTTTTTTTACCAGCTAAGTCTAACACTTTTATAAATGGCAGTCTAAGGCTTCTCCAGTTTGGGGGGAGGGGGAGGGGTTTGTTTGTGTGTTTGGAATAAGATGTCTGTCATTCCTTGATAACAATTAGCAATTGTAGCATTTCCAGCAAGTCATTTTTAGTAGAAAGAAATGTATTGCTAAATTACAATCCATTATTTAATAGCAGAAATCACCCAGAAAACTTTTTGGACTCAAACTTTCTAAGTACATAAGGTAATTGTTAAACATTGTCACAAGTTTCTTAATACCTTTATTTAAAATGGAAAAATAATTCATATTATAGACAATTTTACTTTTAGAAATATTCATTTGGTACACACATGTAATTTTATCTGTGGTTTTTTTTAACATAACATTATCTAAGTTGAACTGCCTTTGCTATGAAGAGATGTAACAAAATTATATGCCTACCTGGTACTCAATGCTGAATCAAACTGGTTCACCTAAGCGTAGTACTCTCCTTTCTGTGTTTCTGCTGCACTAATTGCAGGGGGTGGGAGAGGAGGAGGAAGAATTAATTCTCAGGAGAAGTAGTTGGTAGGTGCAGCAAACAGCAACACAACGTGGATTTCTCATTGCTTACAGTTTTGCTGTCCCTTCGTGGCAAAAGACACCACATTGTGGGGAAAAGCACAGCTCCCATGGTAAAAAATTTATACCTTTTTTAAAAATGCTATTATCGAGAAATTTTGATTACCAAATATATCTTTTGTGGTTTATATTGTAGTGGTGTGTATAAAACACTTAGAATTTTATTTGTGGAAATTGTACATAGAAAAGTTGAAATAGGTCTTCCCAAATCCTATGTGAATGGAGAACCACGTTAAGACTGTACATGACGTGCAATAAACCAACTGGAAAAAGTGCATGTGCTTCATCCTCTCAAGCCAGCTGCAGCTGAAAATGCTGCTTATGCCTACCCCCGCCCCAAAAAAACCCCACACACACCACACTTATAAACATCAGAATAAAGAATGTACATTTCACTTTCAGTTTCTATTGGTGCTTTTAACACTGTTTAAAAGAAAGCAGAAGAATGTGACATCCTGGAGCTCTAATTCACTTCACTACAAGCTGATCATAACATTTTCCCTGATTTCCAGTGATTAGAAAAGGAAATCAGTAAACAGACTCACTACAATGTTTCTCAGTTGGATGTGCATCCCAAATACTTGTTTCTAATTAGGAAACTTCAGGTACAATTCTCATATAGTTTTTAGATGTAAGAAAAAAGAAAGGAGTGCTGACCAAATTTTGATCCAGTAGGCTATGTGAAAAGGAGTAGTGTCATCAATTTTTTGAACAAAGAAGAATTGGTAAAAATACCAGTGGTTTGAAACCTTTTCTCAAAGATTTTATCTTGACATCTAAGTTTTAGGGCTCCTTTGCACCTGAAATTCCCCAGTCCTTACTTAGTCATAAATCCATTCTCCAGGTTTCTTTTCCTCTTTTCTGATCACGCACTAGAACCTTTGTTTTCCTTAGCAGTATTCTCCCCACATGCTTCTAAAAGCCGACAGAAGCTGGGTCCAGAGCATGGGTACAAGCTAGCTGCCCACAGATGGCGTTTGGTTTGGCCTCTACAGTGTTGCTGTTGCTTTAATTACCTGCCAGCATTTAAAGTCTCAGTAGACTTTTTAAAATCTATTCATAAAGTCTACACTTCTTCAAAGAGCAAGTTATCTAGAAAACTGCAGCCTGCATGTGCCTGAGGTAGCCGTCAGCTGAAACCGATGAATTCCACTATCCCTTTTAAACCAAGAGCTCCCAGTTACACACTGCCCCACTACTCCTTACTGCCCCAGTATCACACCTGGATTGTTGATTTGCATTCTTCTAACTTGGTTTCGTTTTTTCGTCCCCTCCCTGGTTCCTGTAGACATCTGTGCTTGCCTCTTCAGATTCAGAATGGTGATTTTGACTCTTCAGACACCAAACTAGCTTCTCAAAGGGTATAATGTAAAACAGGTTTTAATGTTTCTCCTTCTGAAAAATCAGATGAGTATCATTTCTATATAAAAATTAGTCTGATAATTCATACATTTCTTAATATTTAGGGAGGAATTTCTGTTGTATGGAAGGATTGGATGACATTTGGGTTTCCTTCCAAATGTCATTTTTTTATAATTATCTGCTCCTTCTTTGTAGGAGCTCTTTGTGGTCTTGTTAGAAAGCAGTTAAGCTAATTGAACATTTAAAAAATATCCCACATCTAAAAATATATATATATTAGTGATAGTAAGTTGGGGATCATGTTTTTCCAGAAAATGTACATTAAAATTAGATTCTCCAGTTAAGTACTATTTTGTGAAGTACAGAGGGAGTGCTTATTTTTATGTGCTATACAGCAGTTCCAGTTTGAGAGCGCATCTCAAAATTAGGATGAAAATTTAACTCCTGTGGTTCTGCTCTCTTAATGTATGCACTGGTTACTTAACCGAATACTAAGAAAAACTAGGGGGAAGTGGTTAAAAGTAAAATATTAGTAAAACATTTGCGAATTAATCCACAAGTATTTTCTTATGGAACTATTTGAGTTGATACTAAAAATTCCATAAGCACTCATTTAACTTCAAACTTTATCAAGGTCAAGAATGAATAAGGTACCTTGCCTAAGCTTGAAACCTGAATTTTAAAACCCCTTGTCACAGTGTTTTAAGTGATTTGGCCTATAAAATTAGAATAGACTAATAGTGCAGGTGAGAAGCCATCTTGAACACATTTTAATTATTTATGTTAATGATGCTTTTGCCCATTGTTTTCTCACTGAGGTAAAAGAGCACTGAAAAATTGTTCAGAGGTTAAACTTATTCTAGATTTCTAGATGGTGGGAAAATGGAAAACTTAAAGTTAGTGGATGGAGCATATGAAAACACCAAAGCTAAGAATCTGAGAAGCTAAGATCTAAACTGGTATGCCAGGGAAGAAAACTAGATCAACAAATCAAACGTACAAATGCCCCACCTTAAACTATTATTCAAGCATCAGTCTGTGGGGCTATTAGCAGGAAAATCGGTTTTGAAGTCAAAGGAAAAAATTAAGAAAACTGGGAAAGTTTGATATCACATCTGAGAGCAGTCAGTCTGTCATCACTAAGTATCCGTGTTGGTTTTAAAATGAATTAAGTCTCTCTCATTGTTCTTGGAGCTTATAATAAAAGCAACCTGGCATGGCGGGACACAAAAGAAAAAAATGCCATATAAGTTTTACTTCCATGTCTTCCAAAGGGCATTGCATTTTCACTGAATTCTACATGAGTCTATTTGACAAAGAGATTTTGTGCTCTTCAAGGAAGACATCACAGATGTGAACTCGGTCAATTACCTGTACTAATAAATACCAAGAAAGCCTTGTCAATACCTTGACTCCTTCAAAGAGGTGTTAACCCAAACTTTTCTTTTTTTTATAAGTTTAATTAATTAATTTATTTTTGGCTGTGTTGGGTCTTTGTTGCTGCGCGCCGGCTTTCTCTAGTTGCGGCCAGCAGGGGCTACTCTTCGTTGCGGTGCGCAGGCTTCTCATTGCGGTGGCTTCTCTTGTTGCGGAGCACGGGCTCTAGAGCGCATGGGCTTCAGTAGTTGTGGCTCGTGGACTCTAGAGCGCAGGCTCAGTAGTTGTGGCTCACGGGCTTAGTTGCTCCGCGGCATGTGGGATCTTCCCAGACCAGGGCTTGAACCCGTGTCCCCTGCATTGGCAGGTGGATTCTTAACCACTGTGCCACCAGGGAAGCCCCCAAATTTTTCTAAATTGCTTGTTATCCTCTACTAAAGATTCTCCACCTCCAGCCTTAAACTCCATCCTAGAGAATTTATAGCAAAAAAAAGTTATTGAATCAAAGTATAGATTGTATCTGAACTAAAACTAATGAGAAGTCATAGCCAGGAGGTATAACTTGTTTTAATTATTGAAATACACATGTAATATTTTTATGTACGGAACTCCACATGTGAGTAAATGTGCAACGAGTTGTGGCAGAAAGAGTATTATTAAGGGCAATATTGGGAAGTTCATTCTTTCCTTACCACTGTATCCTCTAAATTCAAAGAGAAGTACTACTTTCTTCAAGACACCATTGGACAGAGCTAATGGAAAGGAAAAATAGGACAGAAAAATGTAAACTTAACTAAATAATACAAACTTGAAAAATGGAGTTGGTTACCATACCAACTCCCATTTCTTAAGTATTTTTTCATATGTGATCCTACTAGACCCAAAGGTGATGATGAGAACAATGCACACTGTGAGATCTATATCCTAGCAGGTTCCTAGCTGAGAATTTGGTAGTAGTGTCAAAATGAGCCACCTAGCAGACAGTCTTCAGCAGGTGGTGGGGAACGCCTCACGTTTTGATGCACAATAGGCTCTTCTGCCTCTCCTTTTCCATCTGAATTACCACCTACCCTCCCTATGAACATTTCTTAAGAGTAGGATCTCTTTGTAGAATTGCTGTAATGAAATTAAAATACAGAAATAGCGGGGTGGGGTAAGCTGTCGGGCTACGTGTTAGAAAGGGGTTGTTGCAGTACCAAATCGTCTACTGATGGCTTTAAAAAGTAACTGTCAGATAAAAGACACTAGGAAGTATCCCATCAGGAATCAGTCATGTCTGTCTTGTACTTGGTGTTACTCATTGATGAATTATGAGCACCACAGTCAACTTTTGAGCCCTTAACTGGATTGGACGCATGGTGTTAAATCAGAGGCAACAATCAGTACATGATTCAATAAACTCAGTAACATACAATGAATAAAAATAACCATTTCTCTGTATATCGAAATGCATTAAAACCAAATGGCTGTGTATCCAACTTATGTTGCCCAAATATGGTAAAGCCATGTAATAAGACAGACTAATGGTTTAAAGTCAAACCAAGAGGAACTCACCCACTTCGGGATCCATGTCCTTTCAAAAATGCTCCTTGGTGACCAGTATGGGAGATTTTGCTATTGGTATTCTTGTTACTCAGAGGCCTCGAATATGTGGTCTGCGTAGACAACAAAAATAGGAAGTTTCAATAGAAGACATCATTTATTGCACAAGTAATTTTCAGCCTCTTTTTGAAACAAAAGTTATCGATTTTTTCTACCACCCTTAAGTTACACTCTTCAAACAAAGCAGCTCTAAGAAATTTTTAAAATATTTATGAAGCCACAAATTAAAAACCATAGAGTATACACTGATGTGTATAAAATGGATGACTAATAAGAAAATAAATATTTTTTAAAAAGAGACAAATGTATAATGTGTATATTGTGCATTTACTTTTTGTTTCTCAGAGCTATATAAGCTTGCTTTCCACAGTTGCACTGTGGACTTATTTTGCCGAAAGCATCCAAATATCTAAAAACCTGGTGTACTGCAAAGCCAATTAGAAACGTGTAACCGGCTCCTCAGGAGTTTGTGTGCTTTGTCAAAAGGAATATAAAAACTGCATGTCCATTATCCAAATAAAGATTTCAATTCTACATGTACATTATAATATGCCAAGTTAATTTGGAATATGTGTGTTTACAGAGATAATTAACTATCTTTATTGAGGCTGCTTGATCATAGTTATTTTTTCATGGTTTCTTCCATCACAGAAAATGTCACAAATAGACGTATTTTATTTTGTTAATTTAATGCCCCGGTGATTCTGGCAAAGTTTTTGTTTTTTAGAGCAGGCTTTAGCTTCACAGCAAAATTGTGCAGACGGTTCAGAGGTTTCCCAAATCCCCCCTGCCCTCACGTGCACAGCCTACCCCACTACCAACATCTTGCACCACAGGAAGCATTCGTTACAACCGGTGAACCTACGACGACACATCTTAATCACCCAAAGTCCATGGCTTACACTACAGTTTACTCTTGTTTGGACAAATGTTT